TGGGAGGTAAGTTTGGAAGACTCCATGTTTTCTGCTTGGCCTCTTGTTCTGTTTGGCCCCTGTGGGTCAAGACATGGTTTTAACTGATGGATAGCTGAGTGGTTTAGGTCTCTGGCTGTAGAGCCAGAAGTTGGGAGTTCAATTCTCCACTGTGCCTCCTTGACAGGGACTGGACCTGATGATGCATAGCCCCTGCAGTTCTAAGATGATGATGATGATGATTTAAAAACATCAGGCACAATCAATCAAAATTATAAAAACCTTGACTGATAGTATATGACAGATACAGTACAAGCTTTAACCAAAAACCTATCTGTTAAATATCGGCTCAGTATGTATGCGGTTCCTAATATTGCCATTTTTGGAACTCTGATTGTGTGATTTCTGAGATCTGCAACTGCTTATAGTACTGTGTGAAATTTCTTGATATTATTCCCAAAGCCCTGGGGGGACAACTGAAGTGCATTACTGTGTTAAGTGTGTTGTTGTTGTTGTTGTTATTGTTGTTCCTGTTCCTCCCAGAGACCATTGTTGTGTCCTTGAAAGGTTGAGATTGACAAGTGCATCCACCCAAGAATATCTCTAAAGACTCCTAGGCAACTGTTTTAACCTTGAAAATATAAGCTTTGAAGATAAGCAAGCTCTAAGAATATTAACATGGCAGAAATTATCAGGAGTTGAATTATTCAGTACATTAAATTTAATCTCTAAGACCCCTTTCTGGATGGTTGTTCCTGTTGACTATTTCACTGCTGAGCATCTTATTATAAGAAATGAAGTAGAATTACTGTGAATTACTTAGAATCATAGAATAATGAAGTTGGAAGCGGCCTATAGGGCCATTGAGTCCACCGCCCTCCTCAATGCAGGAATACAAATCAAAGGATATCTGCCAGGTGGCGATCTAAATTTCTCTTGAATGCTTCCAGTGTTGGAGCACTGATCACCTCTTGAGTGGTCGTAACTGACTAGATAGGCGGGATATAAATTCAATAAATAAATAAATAAATTGAAGTAATTGGTTCTATTGACGTCTTGCTCTAACAGTTAAGACGTTTTTCCTGATATTCAGCTGAAATTCATTAACTTGAGGGTATTGTTGCATGTCCTGAACTTTGGGATGATCAAGAACAGATCCTGCCCCTCTTCTGAATAACAGCCTTTCAAGTATTTGAAAAGTCCTATCATATCTGCCCTTAGTCTTCTTTTCTCAAGGCTAAACATGCCGGGTTCTTTCAGTCTTAAGGATTGGTTTCCAGCCCTCGGATCATGCTTGTTGCCTTCCTCTGAACTTGTTCCAGTTCATTAGCATCCTTCTTGAAGTGTGATGCCCAGAACTCAACACAATACTGAAGGCCTAACCAGTGCCGAATAGAGAGGAGCTAGTACCTTGAGGGATTTGGAGACTATACCTCTGTTAATGCAGCCTAAAACAGTATTCGCCTCTTTCGTAGCCACATCACACTGCTGGCTCATATTCAGCTTGTGATCTAGAATCAATCCAAGATCCTTCTTGCTTACAGTGTTGATTATATCTATATATCTTTGTATTTTCTTCTGCCTTCTGTGTCTTATGTGGTGACTGGTTCATTGTGCTTCTTGTCCCTTTAGGCCATGGAGGAACTAGTGGATGATGGTCTGGTGAAATCTATTGGGATTTCTAATTTTAATCGTGAACAGATAGAAAGGCTTTTGAATAAACCAGGATTAAAATACAAACCAGTGAATATCCAGGTAAACTGCTTATAGCTTTATATTTGTGCATGTCAGGATTTCTGTACCCTATTTTGTTTTCCCCCCAAAGGTATTGTTGTTCACTACCAAGAGAGTAGGGTTTCAAGCTTTTAGTCTCTACCTCTAAGAGTCCTCTACCTTATAAGGCACCATTTTAGATTTCCCAGAACACCCAATGCATTCACACACATGAGGACATTGTGGGAAACATACATGGCAAGCAACACGTGTTGACTCCATACCATGACATCTAATGCTTAGATCACTGTCCTAGGCCTGCTACATGGAATTGTGAAATAAAACAAGTAGTGATGCCCAATGGGAACCAGATTTCAGGAGGTGATATGGGAATACATACTTTTTGGTCAACAGGGAAGATATCATCTGCTACGCCCATCTCTGGTCTACTGAAGAATCAGCAGAATTAGATGCTTACAAGAGAAGGACCCAGCACATCAAAAACAATGCACTCAGCTGCCAGACACAATTGTGATTTTTATAGATTGGCAGTTCTACTCCAAGGGTAGCAAAGGCCACCTTTGCCTTTTAGATGCTTATCTAAGTGGGTCCATAATGTCTGTGTTTGTAGATTGAGAGCCATCCATACTTGCCTCAGGAAGAGCTGATTAATTTCTGCAAGGCCAAAGGGATTTCTGTCACAGCGTATTGTCCTCTCGGAGCTCCCAACTGGCCGTGGTAAGGATTCTTTGAGATTTGTTGTAGTTATCAAATTTGTTCTTGGCTCTTTTCTTAACATTACAGTATTTGGTAAACCACTCTACATCTTCTGCCAAGTTTGACTGCATCTTTGTCTCGTCCTCATTGATCTCACGCCTGTGGGTGAACTCCCAGGGAAGCCTGGAAATTGGTAACCAGAAACTGGGCTTTTTCTGCAATGGTGCCATCTCTATGGAAAGCATTCCCGCAAGAAATACGGCAGGCACCCTCCCTTTGCGGTATATAAATTGAATGAATGAATGCTTTAATATATTGACTTATTTATGTGTCTATTCAAGCAACATTAGCTGCCTTTCAAAGCTTCTGAGTAAGTATTTTCATATATATTCGACTCCAATATAACATGATGTTCATGGAGCCATTAGTTTAAACCTTGATCTGTCCTAATTACAGGTTTGGAAGGTGCAGGGGATTTAGTTTGACAGAGAAGAAACTTAAGCCTTTTCCTCCTGTCTTTGGCTTAGCTCCCTACTGTCCAGTTGTACTAATATTGACTGGGCAACTATGGGCATGTTTCTAACCCTGGATTTCCAATTCTTCTCTTATTTGTGATAGCTCTTGGCTGTGTACTTTAAGCCTTGCACGCCACCCTTACCAGGTAGGACACCCAAAGAACAAACACAGCTCTTGTGGCTAAGGCACTTTCTTGAGGCATTCAAACCCTTGTTCCTTCAAGAATCACACTTGGGTAAAATATAAAAGATTTATTTTAAAAAGAGTAAATACAGTGGTGCCTCGCATAGCGAGGTTAATCCGTTCCGGATTAACCTTCGCTATGCTGAAGCATCGTTGAACGGGGCAGGGAATTCCATTGGAACGCATTAAACATGGTTTAATGCGTTCCAAATGGGCCAAATACTCACTGTTCAGCGATGCTTCTTAATGGCCGGCAGCCATTTTCGCGCCCTCGCCTCGCTTAACGAGGGCGCGAAAACGCTGCGCGTGGCCATATTGGGCCATTTCCGGGCTTCCGGTGGCCATTTTGGCCGCCGAACAGCTGATCGTCAGGCTTCGTTTTGCGAAGATCGTAAGTGAAACGCTTACCAGTCTTCGCAAAGCGAATTTTGCCCTATTAGAAAAACGATGAGCGATCGCATTAGCGATCCGAAAAAATGGATCGCTATGCGATTTCATCGTTATACGGTGCGCTCGTTAAGCGAGGCACCACTGTAGTTATAAAACATAAGCAATACAAAAGTGCTACAAATTGCACTGTTAAATGCCAAGTTTCTAAGGATTAAGTAAGATCCTGTAAGTCTTTCCCATAAAACAATAAAAAGATTAACTAACTAAAGTATAATGATTTGACTACTTAATTACCCTAAGTCACCATTGCTTAGTCTCCTAATAATCAAGGCTGTAAATCTGTCACCCCCTCCTCCTCCTCCTTCCCCAACTTGCACACACACCTTAGCCCCACTTTCTATAACTTAAATCATTTGAAATAAACGAGTCTACCACCATATCTACTCTGAGACTTCTCTATAACAGTTTTGTAAATCTTGAAAGTGTATTTTGAAGATATTTAACATAGAAGTAGTTTTAGAAGAGGTAGGTGTTTTATTCTGTGCTAGCGTATCAGGCAAAAACAAAATAAAAACAATAATAAAACGTGGCACCTTAAAGACAAACTGGTCTATTTTAATCGGAACCTTTGTGGACTTGTAGGATGTAGAAGAAGTTCATAAGAATACACATCGGGCCTTGCTCAATGGGTCAGACATTGTCTACTTGTGTATCCCAAAAGATGCGTATGAGAAGCCCATGGACAGTTCATAAGCAAAACGTCCCTCTCCCACCATCCAAAGCACTGGTATTCAATGGCTCATGTCTCTGGATCCTGGAGGTTTCATATAGCTGTCGTGATGCTATGAATACTTTTATCTCTATTAATTTGTCTATTCTCCATTACTCCATCCTGAAAAAGCAGATTAGTTCAACAACATTCGGAATATTTATGAATTTCCATTTTCTGTTTTTACAGGTCCAAATCTGAGGCTGCTTCTGTGCTGGATGACCCCCTAGTTAAAAATATTGCAGACAAACATAACAGAACAACAGCTCAAGTATATCGGTCTACTTTTTGGAAATGTATTGGGCAATATTGTTTTGTGCCAACATGCACTCTTGTCTTTCTGCTAGATAAAGGAAATAATGAATCACGGGATGTACCCCTGGGCCAATATTTTGTAAGATGCAAACCATCTCCCAGAACAGACAATCTTTTCTCAATATATGATGAGTGAGATGGTGCCTTCCTTGTTTTACAAACCAGAAATGTGACAGTTTCTATTAACAGTCGTAACCTTTGACTGGGGTACCCCAACACATACAGGTCAAGGTGGTACAGTACATTCAATGTAAATGCCAGCTAGGACCTTTTTCTACCATATCACCTTGTGCTACAGCAGAATACACTTGAATTTATTCTACTCCGGAGCACTGCCTAAAACAACAAGAAGTAGATAATTTGATATCTTGCTTTGCCATGTAACTTCCCTGATGTACAGTATTGTCTTCCAGATACTAATTCGTCTCCAGATAGAAAGAAATGTGAGTGTAATCCCAAAGTCAGTTACTCCACATCGCATTAAAGAGAATTTTGAGGTAAGGCTGAAAAACATCCTTTAAAAAATCCTTGGCCGTTTTATGTAGAATTTTTTCATGTTTTTATATTTAGGAGGAAAAACATGGGTACCTTTATTTTTACATATTTGAAAGAAAAAGATTACCTGTCCCATATCTGATTTGCTAAAATGTTGCTTCTGGTTTAGGTCAGAGAAAAAGACATACCCATACCTATTATTTTGGCCACACAGTATTTAAAATGTTTATTATGTAGATCAGAGTTATCTGGTCTAGTGGACCAAATGGGGACCTGCCAGACCTTTTTAGTTAGGACACCTGGGTGCCTCTCTGATTATATGCCACACCTGGACTTACTCTCTGTTACCGATCCCATTTACTCAGTGCTGTCCCATGCTTCAAGTACAATACAGAAATGCTTAGTAGTGAAGAATACATTGCCCATTCCATGCTGAACAAAGTTAAGCACTACAACTATAATTCTGCCATCTTTTGATCTGGCATTGCCCATTCTTGTTTCCATAATTATGTTGAAAAACACCCAGAGAGTGCTTTAAGCACTATGAGGCAGTGTATAAGTCTAAACAAGTACAGTGGTGCCTGCACTACAACTATAATTCTGCCATCTTTTGGTCTGGCATTGCCCATTCTTGTTTCCATCATTATGTTGAAAAACACCCAGAGAGTGCTCTAAGCACTATGAGGCAGCGTATAAGTCAAAACCGCCTAGAGTGGTCGCAAGAACAGACAGACAGACAGACAGACAGACAGACAGACAGACAGACAGACAGACAGACAGACAGACAGACAAGTACTTTGGCTTTGGCCACGCCCACTGCAGAAATATGGAAGGCAAATGGGGAAGAACCGTTGTTGTCTAGCGAAGATCAGCCATAGGAAAGCCGCTTTGCAAGCCGCCGATCAGCTGTTTAAATAGCTGTCTTGTGAAGCTTAGGTCCTGAAAACACCCGTTTTGCGAGTGCGGAGGGAGCTGTCAAAATCATTGTCTAGTGAAAATTGGTTTGCAAAGCAGGGACCAAACATTGTCCAGCAAAATTCCCCAATAGGAATAACTGTTTTGCGCATCACTATAGTGATCACAAAAAGTGAATGTCTAGCGAAAAAACGGTCATGCGGGGGAAACTGTCTAGTGAGGCACCACTGTACTTGGTTTGGCCATGCCCAATGCAGAAATATGGACCCTCACTGGTTTCAACAGGGCATTCTCTTCACATCAGAGCGCATCATTAAGGAAGAAGCATTCCACCCTTCACACTTACACAGTGGGAATTCCTCTTGTGAAACATAACACACCCACCAACAGCGAAATCAATTACCTTATGGTTCATTAATAAATTG